TATTTATTTATCTGTATATTTCTAGCAGAGTTGATTAATATTTCCTGAATTGCGAATTATATATCTATTATACATTCTTCAGTTAGTTTAATTTTTATTATCATTACGATAATACCACATATACTTTGGATATGTTAGTATGATAGTCATTTTTGCATCACTGTGAACAAAATACTTGACAAGAACAACTTAGAGGAGAAAACGTTTATTTTGAGCTCATAGTTTCAGAGGTTCAGTCCATGATTGGCCAGCTCAGTTGCTCTGGGTTCATGGTTCAGAACATCATGGCAAAAGGTTGTGGCAGAGAAAAGCTGATCTTGGCAACCAGGAAGCAGAGAGTGAGGGAGAGGTGCCAGGGACCAAGATATAATCCCCAAAAGCACAACCTCAGAAGTCTACTTCCCCCAGCCATGCCCCATCTGCCTATGGTGATCACCGTAGTACAGTAGTCCTTTCAAATTTGTATTCTACCAAATGCATTAGTCCACCAATTAGGTTACAGTTCTTGTAATCTAATTATTCCACTTTTGAACATTTTTTCATTGTTTCCTTAACTTTTGGGGGACACCTCATATTCAAACCATAACTTTCCACTCCATCCCCAAATAGTTCATGCCCATCTCCCAATGCAAAATGCATTTAATACATCTCCAAGAGTCCCCACAGTCTTAACAGTTTCAGCATTGCCCAGAAGTCAAAGTCCAAAGTCCCCTCTCTTATACTTAAGGTCAACTGTTGGCTATGAGCCTCTATGAAGATCAAAAGTGAATTATATACATCCAATATATAATGGCACAGAGTAAACATTTCCATTCCAAAGGGGAGAGATGGCACATAGAAAAAAGGAATGGGACCAAAGTAAGATTGAAACCCAGCTGGGCAAATAGTAAGTTCTATAACTTCATGTCCAGAATCCAGAGCATATATTGGTGAGACGTGAGCTCCAAAGGGCTTGGGCAGCCATGCCCCTATGGCCTTACTGGTTGCAGTGCTTATGGGCGCTCTCTCAGACTAGTTCTGTCTGAAACCAGCAGCTTTTTCCTCAGGTTTTCTATGTTACTGGTATCTCTTAATCCAGGAGTGGAGGTGGGAGTTGCCCCTGCAGCTTTGCCTTTCTTCACACAGCTTCACACATCACCCTCTCGATGACTGCCTACAGAAATTCTGACTTTGCTACACTTTGCCTGGCCTTCCAGGCCTTCTTTCAGCCTAACAGAAAGTTGCAGGATATGGGCAAAGTATAGACAGATTCTTTGCCAAGAAGTAAAATAAATGGCCTCTACTCCAGTTCCCAATAGAGTCCTCATTCCCTTTTGAAACCTCATAGGCACAGTATTTACTGTGTGCATTTCTATCAGCATTCTGGTCTTTTGAGCTCCCACCAGAATCACCTGTTAAGCTCTGCTTACAACATTCTAAGGATTCTATAGCCTATATCTCTGATCTTTCCAAATTCTTTGCACAAACTAGTTCTAAAGGCTTGAACCACATGGTCAGGTCAGTCACAACAGTGACTCCAATTCTAGGTTTGTATTTCTGTGTTAGTTTTTCATCACTGTGACTAAAATATCTGACAAAAAATACTTATAGGAGAAGAAGTTTGGGCTCACAGTTTCAGAGGTTTACTCTGTGACCAAGGTGAGGTAGAAAATCATGGCAGAAGGGTATGGTGGAGGAAAGCTGCTCAGTTCATAGCAACCAGGAATCAGAGGGAGGGAAGTGCTAGGGGGTCAAAATATTGTCCCCAAGGGCACATCTCAAGAGACCTATTTCCTCATCCATGCCCAATCTGCCTACAGTGACTACCCAATATATTAGTCCTTTCAAATTATTAATCCATCAAATGGATTAATTTACCATTTAGGTTACACCACTTATAATCTCATCATTTCACCTCTGAACATTGCTGCATTGACTCTTCTGCTTAGGAGGACATCTCTTATTTAAAACATAATAATTTGTGGATTTAAAATTTAATATTTATGCATAGGACTTTTTAATGTATTTAATATTTAGTAGTGTTTACTATGCTTCCATCACTGCATTTTTATCATTTTAGTTGCTCAGATTGTTCCATCTTTAACCCGTGGCAATCTCTTCATATCCACTCCTGAATCCTGTTGACACTACCCTAGCAGTCTTTAGTAGCTTACCTATATCTTGTATCACAATATGATCCAAGCACACCTTATAAATTTCCATCCCAGATCTCAAGTCAGCCATTTTCCAAAACTTAGGAAATGGTCTTCTTTTTTAAAATATTTTTTGTTGTAGATTAACACAATACTTTTATTTATTTTTATGTGGTGCTGAGGATAGAACCCAGTGCTTCACATGTGCTAGGCAAGCACTCTACCGCTGAGCTACAACCCATCCCAGGAAATGATATTTCAAGACTACAAACTGTGGAAGTTTATTATCACTCGATTGGTCATTGTTTCTCTGCGTTTTCAGTGGGCAGAGCTAAGAAATAAGTATATAGACGTACATACATAATACATCAAGAAATGCTAGGGTTTTCTTCAATCATACATATGTATCTGCTTTCCCTATGCTAAAAATAATTACCAATGACACCAGGAGTGATTAAATGGCAGTCACATAATTGTTCAATTGTTTCATCTTAGAAAGCACACACTACAGATTTAGCACAATAATAACACTACTACTAATAAGCAATACAATTACTGGAAACAATTTAAGATTCTTTAAAAATCCTTTTTATTATATCACAGTGGGGATGTATGAGTAAATTATTATATTTTAAAGAGACTTGAAATCGTTACTTTATATGTGATTATTATACTACTAGTAGTATATATGTTTATCATATTTACTTTTTTCCTTGAGGAAAAGAATCGCTTTGAAGTTGAACATTTAATTATATCCTGTGATTCTGGAAGGTAGGCATATGAAACTTGTATCCATTGTAGCTATGGCAAGCTGTAGAAGCAGCATGGGGAATCTGGGCAACTTCCCAGGTTTTCCCAACTTATCTCTTCCCATTGCAATTGTGTTTAAAATTGATTTCTATAAAATTGAACTCTCATAAATTCAGATGGAAGTACAAGTACATTTTCTAAATATAAATACTCTGTCTTTACCTTGGTTCCTGTGTTTATATAATTTAGAATTAATTAAGTACTGACTTTGTGTCAAAGTAAGCATATACATATATATGACTCTTTGTAGCAAATTTCTCCTTTTGCACATGAGGCCTATCAGAAAAGCAAGACTTAATCATAAATATTTCTGTTAGTTTATAGAATTAATCAGACCTAAATATTTTTTTTGAAAATTGGCCTGTGAAAAAAGGTTTTTGCCTGTGATATGAATGCATACTTGAAAAGTTATTATAGGGAAATAACATTGAAAAAACTGTCAAACAAAATTCCTTTTTAAAAAAAATTAAATTCAGGGAAAAAATGAAATGGATTATCATTCTTTAAACTATGCAGTACTGTGAAATATGGGTATTTTTTCAAAATGTGCAAAATAATAGTTAATTTTATATTTTGAAGTAAATATAGTTTTTAAAAATTAATGATACAGAACAATTTTACATGCTAAAACATTTATCACTTCCTATATATCAGTTTCTGTGCTGTTCAATTTATCTCATTTTCTCATTTTTACAATACTGTTATTGAGCTACTACTAGTACATATCATGCCCGTTTTATAAACTTCTTTAGGAAACTGAGCCATAGAGACATTAAGTGTCTAAGCAAAGATCAACTTATTATTATCACTTCTTATTGCATTTCAATCAGTTGCAGGTTAAAAAATGCAATTATGGAATTTTTGTTTGCATTCATATTTTATGTTGTTCTTTTTAGATATGCATGACAGTAGAATTTATTTTGGCATATTATACCTACATGGAATAAAACTATCTAATTAGGATCCTATTCTTGTGGTTGTACATAATGCAGAGTTACCCTGGTCATATATTCAAATATGAGGCTAGGAAAGTTATGTCTGATTAATTCTACTGTCCTTCTTATCCCCCTCCCCTTCCATTCCATTCATTCCCCTTTGTCTAATCCAGTGGACATCTATTCTTCCCCTCTCCAGTCTCCCTTGTTATAGGTTAGATCCACAATAAGAGAGAACATTTGGCCTTTAGTTTTCTGGGACTGGCTTATTTTACTTAGCATGATGTATTCCAGTTCCACCCATTTATTAGCAAATGCCATAATTTCATTCTTTGTTGTTGCTAAATAATATTCCATTGTGTATATATACCACATTTTCCTTATCCATTCTTCTGTTGAAGGACAGCTAGGTTGGTTCTATAGCTTGGCTATTGTGAACTGAGCTGCTATAAACATAGATGTGGTTGCATCAATGTAGTATGCCAATTTTAAGTCCTTTGGGTATACACTGAGGAGCGGTATAACTGGTCAAATGGTGTTCCATTAATGGTGGAATTTTTGAAGAAGATTCTGTAATTTCAGGGAATCAAATTTAGGTGAGAACTATAAACTTGGTATTAATGTGTAGTGATTTTACATAGATAATATAATATAGTTTACAGTAGTTGAAAATATAAAAGTATAAAATTTTGATGTGACTATTCAAATAAATATTAATGTTTTCTTAATGTTCTAATATATAATAAATTGGTGTTTAAAGTCTTAAGAGATTTTTTCAACAAATATATTTATCACAGTTAAAAGTTTAGATGAAAAATAGTTATAATAATTTTTTCAATTTTCTTTTAAAAGTGTACTTAATATGTGTTATCCTTTATTATATATGTTTAAAATTTGTGATTTAGAAACTATGCTTAGACAAAAATAAAAATATCTTTTAGTTGATCATCCAAGCTAACAACTACTAATATTTTGGGAAATAGCAGTCTAGTTTTTTTTTTCTATTCATATTTCTTTTTTATATGAAATTTCAAGATTTTTCAAATTATAGTGCAATTTCTCACAAAATATTTTTAAAAGAATGCTTGATTTTTTGAAACTAATGTACATGTTTCTTTTTTAGGATTGTACTGTATATGAAACAGAGAATAAAATTCTTCATGTGGTAAGTATATTTGAATTTTCATCTCATTAGAGAATATTTCTAAATAGAAATATTCTTACAAATAAATGTGAGCAATAAATTTAAAAATCTACTGACCACATCAGTTAAGTGTATATCTTTAAGGAAATTTATAGATATATCAAAATATTGATTATAACTGTTCTATGGTGTATAGTAGAGAAATATAATATTTGAAGATTGTAGTATTTAGCAAGTTTAGAGTACAATAAAATAGACAGCCTAGAGAAAAGGTAATTTAAAATAAGAATTTTTCACTGTGACAAAAAGAGATTGGAAAATGTATTCTGTTCTACATTAGGGATAATTCAACTCTGTCATCATTTGGATGAACTACTTTATAACATAATCAAACATCCTTTACTCTGATTTTATTTTCACCAAACAACCTTCCAAATGGTAAATTATCAATATTTGTTGAATGAATTAGTGGCTTTGCTGATATTTTATTACTAGAAATGAGTTATGAGTACATTATACTTTGTGGAACGGCATCTCCTTTCTTGTTATTGAACAACTGACCAATTTGGTATGTAAATTTATTTCTTGATTGATGCTGGTCTGTCCTAACAGCTTCTTCACCTCTAATGTGAGATCGTGGCATTTCTGCCCCTACAGTGCTTCTTTTATTTCTACTTTGTTTATAAGTTAATATTTCTGAAATATTTTAATATTTATAAAACAATATTATTTTGTATTTAGAAAAGCAAATGTTTAAGACATATCTTACTCAAATCTGTAAGGGGAAAATATTCTATTCAGAATATCAGCACTACAGCATTACTATTCCATTGTGTTATCTACTACATAAATAATACTGAGTAATCCTTTTCCTTTCATTATACAGTAGTGATGGCCTTTCTGACATATTAAGATGGTGTCAAGAGTGGACAGTTAATGTACTCTTCTCTTTATTAGTCCAGAAAGGAAAATAATTTCACCAAACTCCTTTGGATTCACTTACAGGCTCTACAGAATAGAAAGAATATTTTTTAGGATTTATATGTTCCAAGTATTAGTTTAGGTTCTGTAAACATATTACAGATTGAGCATCCCTAATCTGAAAATCCAGGATTCAAAACACTCCAAAATCTGAATCCTTTTTGAGCACTGACATGATATCATAAGTGGAGAATGCCATACCTAACCTCATATAATGGATCACAGTCAAAAACCATGCCAACAACAGGTTTTTCCAATAACACCAAGGGGAAAAAATCGCCCTCCTCTTCATCTGTGATATTTCTTTCCCATGCATGTCTGGATTTCCCCACAGAAGCATACCCAAAAGAAGAAATAAAATGGAATGTGTGCAAGCCAAATGCACCAACTGTAGTTTCATCATGATGCCCTGCATGCGGCCAAGATCTACACACATTGTTCACAGTGACTGGTGCTGTGGTGGCAGCAGCTGTGGCCGCCGCCACTGCCGCCGCCTCCTCCTCCTCCTCCTCCTCCTCCTCCTCCTCCTCCTCCTCCTCCTCCTCCTCTTCCTTGGTGCTTATTCTCTGTTCTGTGGGGTAAAGTTATTTTTGAAAATTTCAACAAGGTCTACAAATACTCCTGTGGGTAACAGTTAAAGAAAAAAGAAGTGTATATATTAATTTATAGCACAGAAATTTGAACTGTTGAAGAAATTGGACAGTGGTGTGTCAACCCTCTTACAGAAGAGTGTGGTGTTGGAATGAACACCTCTATAATATGAAGAAATAGAAAGATAAAATGCTGAAGTTCTATGCTGAATGTGGGCAAAGGGAAGTTAATGAAAAATAGAAAAACATTCCATAAATCAAAAATTGAACATCTAGATTATGTATTGGAAGAGTGGACCCATCAGTTTTACAGGAAACTCATTCCACTTAATGTTGTGCTGATCATTAAACCAGCAAAGATCTATCAAGTTGAACTGAAAATTGAAGGGAACTGTGACTGTTCAACAAGCTGGTTGTAGAAATTTAATGAAAGACACAACATTAAATTTTTAAACATTTTTTGTTATAAAGCATCTGCTAATACGAAGCAGTAAATAAATCCATTGAAGTGAATATCAAAGGGGGTCTTAACATCAATAGTGAAGCTCCAGTTGTTCTCTCGCTGACCTTTGGTAAAATAGCCAAATTGTTTCAGAATCAAGGTGATCATGATAATAGTGTCATTGAACATGATGTTGTTAACACTAGAGAAAAAAAAATTGTCCATAGGTATCATGGTGAAAATGTATAGTGGGATTATTGAAAAAGTAAAGTCAGTCTGCATTTATAACAGAACAAGAGATCATGACAGTTTATAAAATCAAAGAAAGACTTTTAAGAGAAAAAACATGTTCTTAATGAAGCAGATGACTCTGAAGGAAACATTTTAAAAAGCTATCCAGGACAATGCCTCCACATTTCTCCTTCTCCTTCAATGGCTAGTGATTTTTTTCTCACCTGAAATAATAAAATACAGTGTACAGTAACCTTTTTATCAAAACATATCATTATAGGTAGAGATTGAAGTCTATCATTTTTTATTATTGTTGGTTAACAGCTAATACGGGTATTTTAGATATGTTAACTGTCCTGCTTAGTTACTCTGAACACATTCTTTTTTCACTGTATCAGTTGTGTCATCTTTTTAATGTTATATACTTATATGTGAATAAGTATAAGAAAACAGTTGCTTATTGGTAGCATATAAATTTAGTGTCAGGGATGATGGTGAGGTCACACAACTACAGATTGTCCACATGAGTGGCTGAGATAGTGACACTTTTCCTTTCTGATGGTTCAGTGAATGTAAACTATTTCATAAAGAAAATTATTTAAATATTGTATAAATTACCTTCAGGCTATGTATATAAGAGGCATATGAAATGAATGAATTTCATGTATAGACTTGGGTCTTGTCACCAAGATATCTCATTATGTATATACAAATATTCCAATATCTGAAAAAAATCCAGGGGCTGGGGTTGTGGCTCAGTGATAGAGCACTCACCTGTCATGAGTGAGGCACTGGGTTCGATCCTCAGCACCACATAAATGTAAAATGAAGATATTGTGTCCACCTAAAACTAAAAAAGATAAATATTTTAAAAAATGAAAAAAGTCCAACATCCAAAACACTTCTGCACACTCATCCTGTGTCTCGCTTAATCCTGTTTTTACAGATGGTGAACCTGTAGATTGCAAATATCAAGCTTCAGTGTTCAGTTTGAAAACAGATCTAATACCAATGTCTGTGCCCATTCCAGATCTGGTATTTGCTAACAATTCCAGTTCTCTGAGACTTTATGAATTATACTATCTTGTGTCCCCTGGAACTCAGGGCTACTGTCTAGCTATACCAGTTAGCTATAAAGAATATAGAATATAAAGAACTTGAACAGATCCTTATTCCTACATTTTATTTCCTTTGTGTGACTTTTGTGGGCATGGAGTTCTGTGATGACTGTTACTTCTGGGGTACTAAATTTATTCAGTTAGACTTTGGCTTGCTGTTGTGGGTTCTTCATTGTGTTTAATTTAAGGCACTTATTGAGGTCAATGTGTATTGCCATTTTCTCTTTATAAATTTTATCAGGTATAATCTCTTCTGTTTTGACATCAAAAACAGCTGTTACAAACTAAATATTGAAATAGTTGGCAAATACATCTCATGGTATTTATTTTATTTATTAGCTTCATTCTAAGTTCTAATTTATATCCATGATTTCTCTTTGCCTTCATTTTCTCACTTAATGTATGTTTGGTATATGTTTTTGCATTTATTGACATAATTTTTTATATGGAGGAATAGTTCAGTAGGTAACATATGTGCATTCATAATCAATATCCAATTGTTAACCAAGGAATTGAAAGTGGTTCATAGAAAAATAATCTGTAGAGGACTGCAAAGAAAGGTGAGATTCTATTTCTGAAGAAGAGGCCACCATGTGAAAGAATAATAGAAACAAATTTAAATGTGGAAAGGAATAATATGGAATTGCTCTTGTAAAAAGTACCCTAAATATAATTTTTAATATTTATGATAAGGAAATGACCTCTTTAATATTATAAAATGATGTTTTAAAATTTATTAAAAACCAAAATGAACAACAGTCAGGCTTTAAATTGACTTTTAAATCATTTAAAATATTTTTTTCATTTTTAACAATGTTTTTAATATTTTAAATGATTTTTAATTTCTTACCTAAATTCCTAATATTTGACTCATATCATTAGTGTATGGTCATTTTACTTCTATTTCTTATGTGCCAGATTCTGAGCTATTTGCCATTACAAATGAGTGACAGCATAACTAATACTGAAGAAGTTTAAAAACGAATGCCACCATGGACAATTTTGCATTCCAGCTAGTGAGAATTTTAAAATCTATTATGATGGAGACAGTGGATGGCATTAATCAGCCAATTCAGCTCAGAACATGCTTGTATTTTCATGTTAGCATTGTTTCCCATTCTGGTTTATGTAAGGATGGCCCAGCCTCCACTAGAAGACTGTATAAATACTGTGTGTCCATTTGCTCAATAAGAATTAGTTTTTTTAAAATAATAAAATAGTGTTCCAAACTACTTGGTATATAATGTTAGAATACTTTCTTTACAAATACTTTTTTTTTCAGAGCTATAATATTTCCAGGTTTCTTACAGTGTAGAAGAAATCGTTTTGATTCTAAAAAACAGTATATGAATCTAAGTTGTATTCTACCTCAGGGATCTTTCAAGTGATCTGTTTATTAGAGACTTTTCAAAATATTTTTTTTTAGTTGTAGATGGACACAATACCTTTATTTAATTTATTTATTTGTATGTGATGCTGAGGATCAAACCAAGTGTCTTACACATGTGAGGCAAATGTTCTGCCATTGAGCCACAATCCCAGCCCCATAGAGACTTTGTTTTTAATATGTTAAATGGGACCCGTAGTACACTTTACATATAATAGTTCCTAGGAGAAAATAATAGGTTTTTTAGGTAGAACTTTATAATTTATGATTCT